AGCGTTCAAACACGAAGTAGTTCCTTGTGACAAGGCAGCTCTGTGAACTGGCACGCACAAATTCACAGGAGAGGGTAGCATTCTAATTACATCAGCGAGAACTCTGGTGGGCGAGGCTGGCTATTGCGTTCGGGACAGCATAAGTATGCTCTGAGCGTAGAAACTGAAGAAATAGCTGCCATTCTTGCAACAAATGGACGACGTTGGAAGGCTTCGGAGTTTCGGTAGATCGGTATTTGTAGGCTTTGTTTCTTTCCTGCGTGCGTGCTTGTTGTCGTAAACTGATGGAATGGTGCCTGAATTTTCGTGAGGTAGAACTGGTGTTTTCTTCTCTTGATCTGTGTTTTCTGAGGTTTCGGAGCTGTATTCTTAGGCGCGGTCTTAATCTTTCGTGCTTAATAGGTTTCTGGCGTCGATCCCTTATGCGAAGAGCTTCACGTCTTGAATATTTTTAAGAGGCTTGCTTTGTCTCGTCGTCCTTGATGATGTATTCATGTGACTGTATGCGTTTCTGGGCTTGATTTGCTGGCGTTGCTGATGTTGCCGTGAACGTGTTGCGGTGGGAGGCCCTCCTCGAAAATCGCGCTGGTTTTTTGACAACTTCATGTGGTGTCCAGTCGGACGCTGGTTATTCTGGGCTGTTTCTCAAGATGTTCGAGCAATGTAGATATGCTTCAGGGTTGCAAGAAAGCTCTTCAGAAATCTTCTGCGCTGTTCACTACGAGTCATTCTTGAACCTGGCAGCGTGTGACGTTCGATGCGTCTGAGCCTTATGTCTTGCTTCACGGTCGAGTGTGTTTGCACCGCAGGTGTTAACATCAGGTAACTTCAGGTGGAACACGGCGTCCTTATGACGCAACTGGTGAGCGTAAAATAGCGCTTGAGGAGCAGCGTAATGAAAAACCGAGTGGTAAACGACAGATGACAGGCGAAGAATGAAGGGCATTAGGTTGGTGAGCAACGTCGCGTGTCGTATTATGGAGCGAGAACTTGGAAAATACCGGCTTTCGGGAAGAGAAACCTGATGGAAAGCTATCTCCATTGAATAAAGATTGTGGACTGTGACGGCCGAGTGTTATCGCCTCAAGACGACTGGTAATGAGGAAGTCCTTGTCGTAGTCGTTAAAACGGGCAATCAGTTCTTCTCGGGTCTTTTGCAAGTATTCGTCGTTTTAGAATATGTGGGTGAGGTAAAATTTGAATGCCTCACAAGTAAATTAGTCGCTCAAGTTTGAAACCATCTCCCATTCCGACCAGGATGAAGCGGTGGCGTGGAGCTCGAATAGGTTGAACCATTCCCGTATGGGTTCGTCATTCGCTGATTCGGTGTTTTTGGGGATTTCAAGGTCTTCCAATGTTTCTGTCAAGGTGCTGGTCGCCTTGTATTTCTCGATGATTTGGTAGTGAATGTATGGTCAGGACGTCTAGTGGGGAACTGCGTCGATGATGAGCGACTGATGAAGGTACTGGAAGGTCTTCATCCTGTCGACTGGTGTGACGCTACGATGACCGGGAGACGTAGCCTGGCTCATATACTGTGTTTGTTGTTTCTCCTTTTTATCCTGGCGAAACCCACCATGGGAGATCAGCCATGAAATGAACGGTGCCTTGCAACTTAAAAAGAAATGTCCAGAATTTGGAAATGTTATTTTTATTGATTACACTTGACTTCGATAACTTTTTTATTACATTCTCACTTCTTCCTCATCCTCTGCCTCTGCCATCATTCAGTGCCTTCCTATGTCAAATATGGAGTAGTGGCGAACGCATATGCTCAAAAATTCTTCCTGAATATTTGACAACTGCAACCCCTTTTGCTTGATTCGAATGAAATGCCTGTTATCACCCCAGGAGCTTTGTACGATGACCATTCGCTTCAGTGAACTTCAAAGTACCAACTGTAGGTTCATTAAACCGAATATTCACTACCATGAAAGACAGCGTTCGGCGCAGCAGAAACCAAGTCAAGCGACTAAAATGTACTTTTTTCGAAAAAACAAACGTTTTATGGTCATTCGAACTGGCACGCTTTAAGTGCGAGAAGAGACGAAACTGTGCTCAGAGTGTTTCCGTACACTGCTTCTGGCAGACCTTGGTGATGTGATGCTAACTCTTGTCACTTTCTAATATATCCTGCAGCTTCGGCCATATATTGATGCAGAATTCGAAGATGCCGAACTACTTCTTCATAGCACTCTTGTTAGAATTTTTGATGAACTCTGCAAACAGATTTCAAATTTAATAGCATAGGGCGAAATTGAAGCGGGCGTTGGTTGTTTTCGCCTCTCACACAACTGCATTGCCTCAGTGGCTCTGCATGCACAAGCAGGTTCACAGCCACAGCCGATAGTTGAATGATTTGAGCGCCGCACGTATCATTTACACTAGCTGCTGAAGAGGGCTTCGTTGAATTCGTCTAAAAAATGAGCCTCTGTGCACAAATTAAGTTCGATGAACCGATATATTCACTCTTTCAAAGTTCAGTTTTCTCAAGCATTTTTGAAATGGGTGCCTAGAAAGACCGCCATGATTTTGTTTTCCTCTTTATAATGATATAATTGTTACACCGACATTTTCTTGAGTGAACGTTCACTTTACTTTTTGGCTGAAGTACATAGTTGCGCAATAGCTAAACTAGACAGGCCCCCATACATTGCACTGTGAGACGTTTCTCCTTGTCTTCATTACCTAATGTAGTCCCGCAGTGTTCTTCCAGTGGTTATGGTACTGAACTTCGATCCGAAGTTTCTGAGATCGAATACCAGCCGCAGCCACAATAGCTTGATATTTGCGAAGTTCTACAGGTTCGCGTAATTAGCAATTTAGTAATAGCATATGATTAAATTATCTGGAGCACTTTACTATGGCATTCCTGCACAGTTTCATAGAGTATAGCTTAGCAAGAGCATGCAAAAGGGTAATAAAAGTGACGAGTACTCATGATACTGTGCGGTGAATAAAAACGAGAGAAAAGAGCATGCTTGGTGATGGAACATAGCATGACCATGAAAAAGGACCATATAGGTCCTAGTACAGCATAGGTATGCGTTTCAGTATAGTATTCCAAGCATGGTGCAAAATGTCATCAACGTTTATGTACAAGGAAAGGTAAATTGGAGATGGTGAACATAGCATAGCCACAAATATGTATCACATAGACCAATGGGGACAAAGTGAAGGGAGGGGGAAGATGATTAATGTCAGGGGCAGAAGGACAGGAAGTTGCTTAGAACAGCACCACTATCGCTGCTCATTCAGTCTTGGCCCAACTAGTGCTTAGATGTTCCCATTTTTTGTTTAGAGTTCGTTGAGAGTCCGTGCTCTGCCCAGCCTTTTGGCCAGCTAGGTGGTTGTTATCTTAATACAATACTTTTTCATGAATGTATGCCCCTAATTTTCCTTAGGCATCGTTTACATGGAAATGCATAAATTTTCAAAGACATGCATATCTGCCGGCCCCAAGCGTTCATAAGTGGCACGCTTACCCACGTGTAATTATTCATACAATACTTCTTGCACGGAAGCATGTGCAGCCATAAACGTCTGTCACACAATATATCATCAACATCAGCCTAACTGTGTCCACTGCAGTACAAAGGCCTCTCCTATGTACCGCCAACCAACTCAGTCCTAGGCTTGCTGCTGCCACTTTATACCCGCCAACTTCCCAATCTCATCTGCCCACCTAACTTTCTGTCTACCCTTAACCTGCTTGTCATCTCCTAGAATTCCGTCTGTGATTTTTACTGACCAGCGGTTATCTCTACTTTCCGCTACGTGCCCTGCCCATGGCTATTTCTTATTTGTTTTGACTATGATGTCTTTCATACCCATTTGTTCCCGGGTACATGCTGCTCTCTTCTTGTCCAATAAGGTTACATTGTTATATTTCCTTTCAAAAAATTGCTCGCTGCGTCATCATCAACTTAATTTGATCCCTCTTTGTAATATTCCAGACTTCTGCTCCGTAGCTTAGCAACGGTAAAATGCAGCTGTTGCGTACATCCCTCTTGATAAATAGTGGCAATCTACATTTGGTGATTTGAAAATGCCTACTGAAAATTATCCACCCGATTTCTATTTTTATAATTACTTCAATAACATGGTACAGCTTGTCATTACTACCTACACTAAGTATATGTGCTCCTTTACGACTTCAAGAGTACTGTTATATATCTGAAAACGCTGTTTTCTTTGAAAGTTGTAGTAGATAACCTTCGTATTTTGCAGATTAGTTTTAAGCCCTACCTTTCTGCTCTGCTTGTGTAATTTGGAATTCAATTGTTGCAATTCATGCCCTTCGCTACTCTTCTATGCAATGTCATCAGCGAAGCACAAGCTACTAAGCTTACTCTGCAATAACTAGAATGCGTACAGCGCTATCCAGTATATTATCACCCAATGGCAGTTTGCATGCATATAAGTGGGTTATGATAAGAGACAGGCTACCTAGGTGGACGCTGGATTGCGCGCCGCCGATCGTTGACCGACCAGGTGGCGCTATAGGAACCTTCACCCCTAAAAAAAGTAAAGGCCTGTATGCTCGTTAGGTCATCCCACCACGCCCACCCCACTAACTCGCTCACTGACGCCACTGAGTAATGAATATTGGCGGAGCAAGAATGCGATTTCGTAGAAATGTGTGAATAGGCTTCAGTGTAATCATCAGCCCACATAAGGCTGATAGAAACGCTTAATATGAGTAGATAAGAACATGGGTAGGCTGTACAAAATGAACCGCGTTCAGAGTTCCGCAGTAAGTATATCTTGCGCTTAGGGCACTGTCTGACTCAGACTCATCAATTTTCGCTAAACTGCCCTGATTCGGATGCACCACTCTATCTGAGTCTGAATTAGTTGCCCGGAGTTGATTGAAGAAAAAAAACTTGTGGCCATTGTGAAATAAATCTTTAGGCATACAATCAGTGTATATTAAATTGTAGTGGCAGCTACCGTATTTAGTAAAAGAGTGCTAACAAGTTTCTGCCAATTATTTTCAGAACAGAGATATCGGCGAAAGATGCACTATGAACAGTGATTGCCAACCGGATCTATGTTGTGTGTGGCAACGTCAAGCACCAAGATGTCAATTGCAGGCGGAAATGGGAGAACGCTGCGGTTTTTTTCTATTTGGGAGAAGCATTTACATTGGCCATTGTGGCTGTGCAGTTTGGGGCGGTAAGCGAGTATTTATTATATATTATGACACACAGAACATTGTTATGCGTGGACTTAGTGGGACACTGGGCTTGCTCTCATGTGAAGACATACCTCCATAGTGGACTAGTGTGCGGAACACTTTGCCGAGAACACGATTTAGAGATTCGGCGTAATTATGCGTTATCTATGCTAGAGTGCAAAAATCCACGTGAAAGTGGCTTCGATTATTCAACTACTGCACAAAATCGCAATCTCGTTTATTTCTCTTCGGTAACCACACATCACATGAAGTTATGTTGAATATACTATACTAATAGCCTACAAATATTACTGACCATAAATAGGGAAGTTTGTCTGAACAGAGATCACAGTTTTTTGATAACTGCTTCGCTGTTCCAATGCGTCATTCCTTTTGGTGTATTTTGATTTATTCATTGAAGCTCTGCTCTTGGTGTACATTAACACCCTCCTGAAATGTGCAGACAGAGTTAGAACACAGAAAGGGGGTGGTAAGCTAGGAGGCCTAGCACATGGGTGTCAGTTTTACTGCCCTAAACTGTAGATAACAAAATTCATATTATTAATAAATAACAGTGAAGATAATTTATTATATTAGGCTATCGGGTGTGCTTGAGTGGTCACCGTGAATTTCACCATGTAATGTTCTATTTTGGTGCAAAGAACCAAAGAGAAAGTCTTTCCTTTCCTTCGATGGAATAACTCTCTGTATTTGAAAAAAAAACTATTCGAATGACATGACAGGTCCGCATATCGTGAATGTCAATCTACACTACAGTGGCAAAGGTCACGTGTCCCGGCTGTTTACGCTCATCTAATTGTGTTACTTTGAGGGTTTTGGCAGGCTGAAGCTGGTAATTTTTTTCTGTGTTTTTATCCGTGAATTTTAACATGCAACATGCAAAATAACGCTGCTCTGCCGCCTACGTCGAATATTGTGGTCTGCACCTTGAACATTTGATTGCACTATCTATTTGATAAACTAGACATTCTATTTGTTCAATTTTCACTTATATATTTAGGAACCCTAAAGGCCAAGTGGTATTGAAAATGGAAGAAGCTAAAATACATTAATTATACGGAATAAAATGTCAAGGCCCGTTGCAATTAAGGTTGAAACACTGAATGGAATAACAAGTTGGAGAATTAGAAGCGTAACGAAGAATAAATACTATATATGTAGTTTGTGGTGTCAACCACAATATGCTAGTTCTTAAAACCACACTTATCACAAGCGAATATTGGCTTTTAGTATATGATCATTAGATGTAAATGATTCTCTAAAGTGTAAGGTAATTAATATATGACTAGAAAAGCATCTGGTCAGCTAACCTACGATTGAGTGGTGGGTAATAGTACATAATTACAGGAGATGAGTGAGGAGAAAAACAAGAAAGAAAGGAATTAATTACTGGACTGGTGAGCTCGCAGACTGGCCAGAAAAGCAGACAAGCTCTGCGTCGTGATAGTTAGGAAATACTATGAAATGGTTACGTTTCACGGAGTCAAATGCGGCCTTATCTAACTGGGTTCATGTAATACAATCAGTGACCTAATAATCAAGGCAAAAGCTGTAGGTGGTGTGCTCAGGAATCCCAGACAATTTTCACAAAAACTTCTAAATTTCAAAGCATGCAAATTGCGCGTTCACTAGGAAGGATCAGGTCTTAAGCTTTCCGCAAAGGCAATAGCATAAGGAAGCAAAGAAACAGCGAAATAAAGGTATCATTTTATTGAAACAAAATGAAAAGTTCTTAAGCATGAAACGTTCTTAAGCATGAACCAACTAGACGAAATGACGTAGCTGCTACAACTCATGCGACCTTTTTGTTGGCTTACGACAGTCGTTTGTCAAGGAAAACTGGTGACTGGCCTCACTTGGTGTAAAAGTTTCATCTTTGGCTTTTCCTCTACCTGCTCCACCCTTGCTGCTGAACTGTGGATGCGTTTGTATTATAACTTACCAAAACAGTCGTGCCTCTTTCTTTCACTCTTCTAGCGCGCTGTATAGGAGGAAGATGCAGATAATAAGGATTTTTTACCTGCCACATTGCACCAGATACACGTCAAAGAAATTAATTTCTTCGTCATATGCTGATATGTCAAGACGTTTCTATTTTACAACATTGTATTGATGCATTCGCTCACAGAAAATATCAACTGACAGAAACCTAAATGCTTATTTTATTCTTTCAAGGCTAACCTCAATGTTTTGTGATTAAAGAGCTGTTTTCACAGTGAAAAGTAAAGCAAATAAACATACGTGTGCTCTAAATAAAGCTATCAAGATGTTCCTTTTCTCGTTTCATTATTCTCGCATTGCATATTTCCACTTTTAACCACACAGGTTTTATTAAACATACACATTTTAATTGTGTCTGTGTAACCTAAAGCTTATGTATTTGTCTTTGATATGGTAGCCTCCACCAACTAGGTCACGATAGATTTATGAGTTTCACACTGGAACGCTTACTCTAAAGGGTTGCTTGAACCTCTGCACTTGTAAAGTTTATTAAAAAGACTAGTTTTATCAGTTATGCTTATTTATCTGAAACAAAATCTCTAACAAGTGTTTTGTGCTGTGCCCCGCCACGGTGGCCTAGTGGCTAAGGTACTCGGCTGCTCACCCACAGGTCACAGGATGGAATTCCTGTGGCGGCGACAGCAATTTCAGTGGAGGCATAAATGCTGTAGGCCTGTGTGCCCAGATTTGGGTGCACGTAAAAGAAGCCCAGGTGGTCGAAGCATCCCGAGTCCTCCACTACAGCGTCTCTTTAATTATATTGCAGTTTTGGGACATTAAGCCCCACATATCTATCTAAGTAATTTACCCTGTATATTTCAACTGCGATCTTTGTGTAAAATAGCAGACAACCTTATAGTTGTCTGCGCTTAACATCCACAAAATCAGCATGCCACCACGTGCAAAATTCAAAGTTTCTGATCTTCCATCACTGCCTGATGGTGAACAGCATTTTTCTTTGCTACAACTTAATGAATAAAAGTGCCCTGAAAAAGGAACAGGTATGGCAATCATGTTTTCGTGTTATATTAGTGAACCGCCCTGTTAAGATCAAACAATGCCCGCACTTTTGTGCTACTACAGCCTTTGAAAAATGCATGGAAGGGTGAACTTGTCAGGCGCACGTAAAATAATGAGCGATGCAGAAGTTCAGGATCCCTGACTTTCGCCCAAAAGGACAAAGATTTAATATCAGTAAAATTAATAGTGAAAATGACTTCACCAAATAAAAACATGTCTCTTATTCGAACTGTAATTACCGAAAATGCATATCTAGAAGCCAATTCATAGGGGCACTTCGGCTTTCGCCAAAATCATTCTTGTCAGTCGTACGCAGATGAAAAAATATAATCTTCCTTAGTGTGCCTGTAAGTACTTTAGTCGCTTTACACTCAACTCAGGTGGAACCTTAATCATAGTTTAGAAGTTCCTAAGAAGGAATCACCGTTTGCGAATCACAGACAAGTACACAATATTTTTTCTGTAGTACTTCAGCAAACATCTGATGACTGGTGTCCTCAATGTTCTAGCGTATTTCAGAGAACTTACGCGTGTCTGGAGATAAATATTGTGAGTAATTCATGTGTGCAGGAGCAGTTCTAATATTTCTGACAGGAAACTGTTCACTTGGGAGTCTTGTTTTGTGCTGCAAAATTTTTTTTTACTGCGTCAACATTTTACATGGCGTTTTGCCCATGAACACTTGTATATGTGCCTCGTTTTGCGTTCTAAATGAATGCAGTTATGCATAGATACAACAGAATTTTCGTTACATAATTCTGCCTACTCTGAGCAACCTCGCATGTGACGGTAGAGTTCCATCATAAAGGCACTTCTTGTTCGCTTCTCAGAGAAAACTAGTAACGCATTATTTTGTGCTGTTTCATCCAAGCGCATCAAGGATAGTGTTCAACCGTTAGCCCGAAATTGTTCTAGAACCAACAAAGCAAAAAAAGAAGCAATTATCTTTGTGTTACTGCATACAGGCGTTTCAAAACCACATGTTGTTGCGTCTGTATAGTACCAATACCAAGGACACAGGGAGGCTAGAAACCGGATCTGCTGTGTGCCAGCCCAGTATTCTACCAAAGAGCCAAGCCTGTGTTTTTTCTTCTTTAATAAATGACATTGTCACCAGTAAAGTACACAGAACATACTTCATCAGAAGTCAGGCAAACACACACAAGCGTCAACCACGGGAAGCCACTCCGGAACGAAGTCAAAAGTCTCGACAACACTGCGCACTTGAGCAGCTGCTTCTCGGAAGACAGATCTCGTCGAACGTGGTAGCTCAGCGTGTCTATCGATCGTGCAACTTTTCCATAATGAATAAAGTCCCAACAACATGAACAAGTCCTAAGGAGTATTATCAGTCAGACTATTTTTGAACGGAAGTAACCTAATACCATGAGCTGTGATTGGCAGATTTTTTTAACGTTCTTTTAGGAACGTCCCAAAACCAGCGTCACGACAATGAATAAAACAATGCTCTATAGTCTCAGGTTGGTTGCAGAGTCTACAATTCCCTGTCTAGGGTACGTATATTGATTTTTCCTTCAGCCCAGTTTTTACTGGCACTGTGGAAGTGTGCAGTCTAAAGGAAAATGTTTTCGCTGAAGGAGATATACACATTTTACGTACACAAAATAATACATCGTGACCAGGCAAAAGCGAATATGGCTTTCGATAAACAGGTTCGGGGAAAAGGTTATTCACAAGTGGTGTGGTTAAATTTGTTCTGTCAATAGTATACAAATACTCTAAGGTACACCTGGCGTTCAAAAACTGACAGTATCAACAATTCCTTTTAGAAATCCCCGCAATGGCAATTCCTTGGCAACGCTTGTTGTGACATGAATAAAAGAAAGGTGGTAACATAGACTGTTACGAAGAACCGCTAATAGAAATGGGTGGCACACATCCTTGAGGTAAAAAAATCACAACACCAACTGTCGCATGAACAAATGCACAAGGCTGAGGCCACCCTTTTCAAGTGGAAGAAAAAGATTGTCCTTTCTTATGGGTACCCAGGAAAAGCTCCGAAAAAGCAGAAAAATATCCTATGAAAGGCTTGAATGTGTACCCTAGAGCAATGCAACACCTGCAGAATATAAATAGGCTTTGATACAAGGAGTATATTGGACGCTTTCGCTCTGAAAAAATGGAAAGATCCTGTCCGTGCCAAGTTGCCACCTTTCGGCGGATCGTAGTTATTGTAGCGGTCCAATGTGGGCTGCTCTTACAATAGTTATCGAGAGGCACACCAAGGGATTTCATAGGAGTCGCATTTCAATGAATATTTGCGAAGACCAAAGGAGTTTGGGCCACATGTCTAGCCAGAATCCACTACTTTTATCAAAATTAATGCTGGTGCCTGCAACTTGACAGAAACACAAAGTAGTGTTTACTGCTTCTTGAACGCTAGATTTATCAGCGCAAAAGAAGGCAGTGTCATCTGCATAAGCTAGAACTTTAACTTCCGCAGCATCATATCTGTAGCCTCTTATGTTAGACTTTAGAAGCACACGTAAATATAATGGTTCCAGGTAAATTGCAAAAAGCAAAGGTGACAGCGGACATCCCTGACGTACAGATGAATTTAACTCTATTATATAAAAACGTGTGCGATATACAATTAGCCAAGCTGTGCACATCTTATAACAGAGTGAGATACCATTGTATAGTACATCACCCAACTGCAGGTGTCTTAGGAGTCTCCACAAAAAAGCATTCTGTACCTTATCAAATTCCTTTGCAAGGTATATTTGAAGGAGGGCTACTTGGTCCATGCATTCATCAATACACTCAAGAACTGAACGTGCAATATGAATGTCTGTATAGAGCGACTATGAATTCCACATCGTTGGTGGTCACCTGCACATTTAGTAATCACTGTCTGTAGCCGATTTGTGAACAATATAGCAAATATAACGTAGTCAACATTACATAACAATATAGGCCTGTATTCGTTAACTCTCTTTAATGCGTCAGGATCAGCACTTCACGCATGTGCTTGGGATTGGTTCGCAAACTTGTCTTTACAAAATTGATCTTGGGAACGGAATCGCGCTCTAATGAGTACAAAAGCGCTTTAAAACCGCGAAAAAACAATGAGACGTCACACAATGCAAATAGCTTAACGAGTGGGTCGTTCAATGCTTCAAACCATTAGGAATATTTTTTGATCACCTATTAACTGTGGTGCATAACTATTTCAGACATTGTTCCTCATCGTCATCAGCCACTGCATGCATAATTGGCATAAAATTCCTTGCAACTATTTAGCGGATACAACGCTTCTCAGAAGAATGACAAAAAATAAAATGTAGAATGCTCGTCTACTACCTACAAATCATAATTACTAATGGCATGGTGCCTACCCGAAAAGTGTTTTTGCAGCAGTTACACAAAAAGAGTTAAAAGACGGCTCTAAAAGGCGCTTTCTAGCTTTCGCTTTCACTATGCTGCGCCTTCCGCGCAGGTCTGGCATTTTATTTTATTTTATTTTATTTTTACTTTAGGCATCATTTTGTATGCCTTGAACACAAAATGATATCATCAGTTTTTGTATTTGATATTCATATTTAGTATTTTAATTTATGCAGACTTCGTGCCATATCATCAAAAAAGATAGCAAATTAAATGTGTCAGCCAATTTTCGTAGACATCATAAATAAAATTATTTGTTGGTCATTTTACAGAGCAGGGGCCGGCCACATGCAGCCCCCGCGGCCATACTATGCGGGCTCCGGCCAACCTCACCCTTTACTTTCCCCCAACTATCTGATTAAAACCTTTTGATTATTCAACGAACACCTTCTCGATTTTTAGCGTTCCTCACTGAGCACTCTATGTACACTCAGTATTTTCCAGTCTGCTAAGAACGTTAAACACATGAAGCGCAATGAAGGGGACAAAAAAAAAAAAAGAGCTGGCACACAGCTCAAGGCGCATTTTCTTATGTGTATCTCTTGTGTCGTCCCGTTCATTGCGCATATTTTTATCAAGTACGCCTCACTAACTAGCCTAAACTTACACTGTTTTAGAGCTAATATAATTCGGCACCAAAAGACGTGATCAAGCTGTTTTGTTGTTTTTGTTGCTGCGAACTATATTTAGAATTCACAACCTTGTTACATGCGTTCTGAATATAAGCATATTCGCCATTTCTCTTTTGCCTATCATTATTTCAATATAGAGAATTTTTTTACCTTTCCAGCCCCCCCTCCCCCCTCTGATTTGCCATGAGGGCCCCACCGTGTGGCCTTT